AYAYASWKTTYTMTRTTTTTTTCAGCTTTGGTCTGAWAAAATAAAAGACTYCCCAGTTRTAGAAATCGAACCTGATCTATGTCATCTTGCTCTAGACGTCATTGGAAAGACGTCTTTCGGTTATTCCTTCAACAGAGTATTGGGAAGCGAAACGAAAATATCAGAATCTTTCAGAGCTTTACTTAGCTGTGGTAACCTAGGCCATTTGATGCGAACTCGCTTTATTCCATTCTACAAGCATTTGCCTTTGCCGGACAACTTAGCCATCAAGAGATCACTTCAACTCGTTAATGATACCGTTTTCAAAGTAAGAAATAATCTCATGTTTTGTAGCAACCGTTACCTTCTATATTCCTCTAATCTTCCCTTCTTCAACTTCTTTTTCTCAGTGTCCTCCGAGTTGGTTTTTGTTCAGTGCGCTAACTTTTCTTTTTAACTTTTCACAACTGAAAGGTCATTAAGGAACGGCGCATGCTCCGAGAGCAAGGTAAAGCAGCTGACCACAAGGATCTGCTTAACTTATTACTTGAAATGTATGATGAAGAGACTGGCGCTGGTTTTGATGACGAAGAACTGCGGGCTCAAGTGTTTACGTTCATGTTTGCGGGACACGAAACAACGAGTATTTCCTTAGCGTGGACGTTGTATGAATTGGCTAAAAAACCCGAAATACAGGACAAAATACGACAAGAAATCAAGGTAGAGTGTATATTCATAGAAACAGCACGATGAAAGAGTTGCTACAAGCTGCATCAATAGATTTCTKAACCYTTKWCGTCACTACTTGATTTTCAATGCATTGTGGGATCAGTTTGTAGAGAAAWSAAAAGACATCCGCCATRTTCTGTCCCAAACATATCCTACAATGCATTGCGTATACGGTACATGACGTACAAGCTTCAGAGGTCTAATATAGAAAACAAGCTATAAACCGGTGTGATATGCTCCCGTGTTTTTTCTAAAATGTTGAACTAGACAAACGCAGCGGTTGTTTCTCTTGTGATCTCTCACCGTGTTAGTATCAGATGACAGAGATGAAGGCCACTTTTCTATTTTTAATACTTTTTTGGCTCTGTCCTCTGATGTAAACACGGTCACCAATCAATGAGAGCGCGCGTTATTTCTCAAAAAGTTCATAGTAACTATTGCATCACTTGGTTTTAAATGCTGCTTCTATCACGGAATGTGGAAAGTTTTCATACAAAATTCAATCTCTTGGAAATGTAGGTAATCCATACGTGTCTATTGTTTCCATTACCATGATAAAAATTGATACGTTCATGCTTTGATAAGTTTGAAAAGTTAAGTCTGCTTCGTTCACTGAGATACTAGTGTTTTTGACGACCAGCGATGAATTCCCAAGAGTGTTGTGTAGGCTTTCTCTGTAAAATTATTGAAGATCAAATATCTTGCCATTCTCATCTCTGTCAATTGTTGTCCAGGACGTCCTCACAGAAGACGAAGAGTTGAATTGGACCAAACTGGAAAAGCTTGAATACCTTAGTTGCGTTATCAAGGAATCCCTTCGTCTTCATTGTCCACCGTCAGACCTCCTGAGAGAAACTAACCAGGACGTTAATCTTGGTGGGTATGAGATACCAAAAGGAACGGTCATACTTTTACCCATTGATGCCATACACTTATCACCTAACAATTGGAAGAACCCCTTGGAATTTATTCCTGAAAGGTTTATGAAAAATGGTAAGTTCTTCTTTGTCATAGTATTCAAACGTTTTGGCACAATTGTGTGAATTGAGTTTTGAACATTTATGACGTCAAGAGTTTGTCAATAACAGAACATACAACACAATGTTGCGCAATTCATTAAATCTTACTGAGGGTTACTGAGGTAATGTTGTTGTCCACAGAAAATACCACCCAGAGTCAATACTCCTTTTTTCCTTTCTCGATTGGACCTCGCTTTTGTATTGGTTACAAGTTTGCCATGGCAGAGATGAAGACCGTTTTGTTGTCTTTGATGAAGAAATTCATGTTCAGCGCAGTTCCTGGAATTGAAGTCAAAAGTAAAATGACACTGATGACCAGACCCGATCCTCCTGTGAAAGTTCAAATAGATTTGCTGGACAAAAACACTTAAACTCTTTATTTTAAGAGAGTAGCACGTTATAGTGTCTGTGCTAGTAAACGTTTGTCGCTCTATATAATTCATATTTTACAAATTGAGCTGGTTTCTTTACACTATTGATTCCTTAGTGTCTGCAGTCAAAACGGTTCCAGATCCAGTCCCCTCAGCAGCAGCCGAGTTCACGGAGTTGGCAAAACTTCTCTCGGCTTGAGGTTGAATCTCAATAAGTTCTCTTTGGTTTAACTGCACCAATCCATTTCGTCTTTCTGCAATGATTTTGAATAAGGTGCAAGATTGTAGATTTAAAACTGTAGTGAAAGCACGTCGAAACCTAGACATGCGCATTGCGTACAAAAACTGATTTGCTGAACAGCTGATAAGTGTTAAAATAAACTGAATGTCTCTCAGCCAATGGATGACGGTACAACTACACGATCTGCACAGACTGATAAAGTAATTTATGGAGCAATTTGGAATCAAACAAACAATAAAGAAGCCAAGAATGATCAGAAACGATCGAGTAAGCTTCCTCTCGAACAACATTGCGCGTGATTTCATTTGCCTCTGATTTAGAGACCCCCAGCGGATTACTTGAGACCGCAGTCTTAGATAAACGCGGAYGTACGAGTAGGAGACGACACACAGGGTAACCAAGATGGCAGTGTTTGCGAATATAAAAGCAAAGAGATAGAACCCTGTCACGAAATACAAACACGGAAAGGCGATAGATATTACCCATATAATCCCCAAACAAGTAAAAATCCTTTTCGGTTTTGGAGTTCTCTTTTGAAGTGACGTAATAGTTAAATACCGATCTATTGTTAACGCTGATAGGCTGAATAACGACGCAGTGCAAGCAATAAAGTAAGCCAARTGAACCATCCAKATTCTCTCCAAGACRGGATATTTTAAAGCTTCCCGGATGTGGTAGACGACGAAGGATGGTTCRGCTACACAGCCGACTGTAAGGTCCGCAATTGCTAGGTTGACCACAAAGTAGTTGAATGGAGATCTCAGTTCTTTGTGAGGGTCTTTTACCATTGCCATACAAATTAAAAGATTTCCAGGAATTGTGATRATACAAAGAATRGCGGAGATTGAAGCTGTAGTGCATGATAAGGARTATGGCGCCCATACGCGGTCACAYGAGTTATGGCTGAATACCATCTTTATATTTTTTCCCCTGTACAGAAAGAATCATTTTAGTTATGTATATATTATTATATGTGTGAAAATTAATGCCAGAAAGATTTTGTACTATTTAATTCTATTACTTCAAATTGCATTACATGCATGTATTGTATTTCGCTACAATATATTGCAGTTCATGCCCAATCGCATATATAATGTCACACCAAAACATTTATTTTGTTTAAACGCTAAGGATTATGGTCAGAGCTACTGCATATCAAATAAATGAGATATCGTTGATAAATGATGTACATCTAAACTCTATACACTAAAGTTCTACTTTCGAAAAGAATGTCAATAGGTCCAAATTTCGAGTCTTTCTGAGCATCTATTCACTATGTAAATATACTGTTACGTCATTATGCCATGGGGTAATTGGGATGTCAGCTGTGTTTGTGCCTTGTGTTGTGTACTGTTGTGTTGTGTTGTGTTAGAGTTGTGTTGTTTTGTGTTAGAGTTGTGTGTTGTGTTGTGTTCTCTAATCTTCTCTGTCTTCTTGTTTACTAAATACCACTTGAAACCAATTTAGATAATTGAAAGTTTTTAAAAGATGATAAGTGTAGTCTAATTTAAAAATATTTTAAACTACTTTCATTTGACGCAAATRCGTCATTGAATGTTKGCCTTAAAGCGAATGGTTTGAAAAATTACCGGAGATCTGTCAGGTTGCTGTCGTTGTAAAGTTTAGTTCAAGTTTTCTTTGATTGATTAATGTTTGGCTTATCGTGTTGGCTTTTTTTAGCATGCTCAGGTGAAAAAAAGAAAAAACCCTGAGACTGTAGAAATCATACAATGATGTGCCGACTTTCAAGAATGCTGCTCTAAATCTTTGAAAAAATTGAGGACAATCCAGTTATACTTCAATTATACAAATTAACGAAATCGTCCAGTTTAACCTTAGAGTTGCAGTTTCCTTGCGTTCATAATTCCACTGCAGTATAAATACTCCACTCACGTTTGGTTTGACAATGTTTCTATCGTGAAGGAYTAAAGCAACGCTTGTTATACTAATTTGCAAGGGATTACTTCGAATTATAAGCCTATTTTCCATTAAATGTATCGAGTACAAGCTAAGGACATAATGTGACGTGAATCCTAGTATATATGACCTTAAATATAATAAGTAATGCAACTAATCCCTTGGATTTTTGAAGAGTCTTAAACTCTCAAGGATTTAAATAAGAAAATGATCGAATAGATTATTTAGTTTGCTCCATCCCATAATTTGTTACATAAAGAAATAGAATTCAAGATGGCGGTCGTACCAGTACCGTCTCACCTGTAAAGTCATCATTCTTTAGTGACTACTAGTCATATAGACATACCCGTGGGACGAATATTATTAGTACTACCGAATAGTGTTTATTACTAATAGGGAAGAAGCGTTTGAAGATTCTTTCCGTATGGCATTTTGACTTCTATCTACATGCGGGAAAAGACGAGAAAGGTTTTAATGAAACATAAAGCGAGTAATTTAAAACCTTTCAAGTCTTCCTTATAACAATCCCAAGTGTTTCCAGCAAGCAATGGAAACATGGAAAACATCCAAYAATTTTTTAAAATAATAACTTTTGCTCGAAAGCTGTGTTTAAATCCTCTAGTTTTTAACATTTGAAAGCGCGCGAGTTACATAATAAATATAATCATTTTTATAACAAATTTAGTACCGTTTTTATAGTACTTTTTACGGATAAARTGCATCCACTTTGTTATTATTACATTATTGCCATGAATAATTATATTTATATGATAAATACTCCTTATCTGTCTACCATATTTTTTTAGTCCAGGAGAGTCGTATCCATTAAGCGTCGACGAGTGGGTTTGTTACAAGCCTCAAATGAAGAAACCGCATTTAACGCTCCAGATCAGCAGCCATCACAGTATTATCACTGCAATTTATTCAATTGTGGAGAGATTGTCTCTTGGTTTTATCCCTTTAGAAATATTACATCAAACACCTAAAAGCTTTTTTAAGCTACTTTCAGTGAGCTTGTCATATAGCCGACAATGCAATTTCGAAAATGCATTTCCGTGTATCACATTTTATTTTAATTTTTCTCTGAGTCCTTATGGCATAGAGAAGGCTTCCTTAAAGACGGTATCGCCGATATACTTAACGAAACTATAAAGGAGTTTGCATCAGTGAATTGAGGAACTCCCTATGTGATTGACGCATCATAAAGTGACCCATAAGTATAATTATGGGTTGGAAATATTATCATTAATGATACAATTGATTTATTAATTTATTATTTTCTTAAGTATCCATTCATTCGATAACAACAACAAAGATTTATTTATACCAAATATACCAAGGRAATTCTAAAGTAAATAAGGTTGCAAATAGCTAAATTATAGGTGTTGGCCCTAACTAATGACTAGACGGTTGCTAAGGTGTTAATTAATAATAATTGGTTTATTGATATCTTTTTTTCAATCTTTTTTATTTTTCATCAATCCATTCGCTTTAATTCTTTCTTTCCTTCTTTTTTTTTTCTTTATCTATTTTTTATTTTTTTATTTTTTAGCTTTTTATATATTTATTAATTCTTTATTTTTGTTTATTCCTGTATATTTTCATTTATCAAGATCATGTTTAGTTTTATAGTTGCACGCCAACAACGCCTAGAAAGTAATCATTTCCTCTGAGAAACGCCAGACAGCTAATATCATTATTGCAGTACAACATTTTCCAATTTTGCTATTTCAGAACAGATGTGTATCTGGATCGGATTCAGATCTTTCAGTGTATCCGATTTAATAAAGTTAGAAGCCAAAAGTAAGCAAATATTGACGGAAAAAAACCTTGAAAGCGAGAACCCAAAACACTTCCTAAATGTCAATCTTGCTTTACTGCGAAAAAATAACCTCTCGACAGAAAAAGGCTGAAAATTGTCACCTTTTAAACTGAGATTGMAACTGTAATTACAAAAAGACGGCAAAATTACTGATTTTATCTTTGCTTTTACAGGCGAAACTGAAGCTTTAGTGTGAAATTAACTCCTGTCGGATATCTGTGTTCTTGGGAAATCGCCTTCCTTGTCTAAAATTGCATTTTTTTCGTGACATATACAACAGCTTTTCTCGTAAACAATTAGTAAATTGAGTTTAGTTTACTCAGTTTTCATTATTTAAAAAAGTATACTATTAAAATTCTCTAAACAGCCAAAACAATGCTATGAATCTAACTTTATCAAAATACAACATAGATGTTTTATTTTGACTAAAAAGTGCTGATTTAGAATATATTAAGGAATTGAAATGGTAGATTTTAGCACAAGAAACAAAACTCAGCATGCTTCCTTGTATCTTGTATATATATTGAAAAGTAACAAAATTAAGAAAATAGGACGCAAGTTATAATACTGTTAAAGTACCACCTATTTATTGAAAATATGTTTACTGCTATTGAAGGGAAAAATAGATACATTAATTTTTTYCGTATCTCTTTATACATCAGAAAAAAAGTGAGCACCGTTTAGTTTATCAGAGTGCAAAATATTTTCTTCCGAGTGAGATTATAGCTTAGACATGTCTTGAAATAGTTTTGACTAATGAGTTAAATGAAGACTTARAAATCCTGCATGTTCTCAGTTTTCATATGTCATCAATCTATGTGAGTACGTTTGATAATTTTAGCAAAATATACCCCCTTCTGGGGCTATAGTTCTTAAAAAGTGAAAGCGTTTCATTGATATATTTAGAGCGAATAAAGCGTTCATTACTTTTTATCTATCTTTTTGGTTTAAAAATGTTTGGAAATGCTGCTTCTTAGTTACGTATGTTTTAAAGACGCAGGTGTGAAGCGTTTTACAGCGAAAATCGAGATATGAAATTGCTACATTGTAAGTGCTACACCATCCACGAAAAAAAAAAAATCCGAATATTCGCCTTGCAACCCAAGATCTCGATATATAGTCGAAAATGTTCACTCTTGAAGAGTGAATGAGCAGAAATGAAGGGAAAAATATATGATTTATTTTCTAAGTAAAAAATATAGATTTGATACTCTAGTCGAATAATGGCACAGAATATCGCTAATTTTTTTCTTTATTCAGACGCAAAGCTAGAAATAGTACACCATTTATTATTAGAGTAAGAAAAAAGGCATAGAATTTACTTACCTTTAAATAACTGAGCTGTAGAGATTTAAAGCATGTACCTTCAAACAATTGTGTGTATGAATTGAGGAACGTATAAAAATACACCCACGTTCGGCTCGCCTTTACTGCTGGCCAGCAAATAAATAGCTTGGCGGATGTTCGAGTCCCCAAGCGGATGTTATTKGCCTCAAGGATGGCTGTCATTTTATTGAATTGTTCTCCCATTAGATTGCTTTAAAGGCTTATTATAGTATTGAATGATGGTTCTAGATTGATTTAGACAATTGCTGGGCATAATAACAGTAATATGTTCAGTCATCGCCGTATTATAATTATACAATAGATGATGATGATGATGATAATGACATGATGATAATAATAATAATTATATAATTTGATAATAATAATATTTTTTTTAAATAAATTTTCGAAAAACAAACTTACAGTATAATACAGTAATAGTAATACTTTAATACTGCTAATTTTAAATAAACCTATTTATAATAAAAAATAGTTATAATAATAATAATATTAATGATGATGATGATGATAATATGATCATTTGTGTTGTGATTGATGTTGACAAGATGAAAGTAATAATGTTAATAATATCTTAATAACTCATCATTCGTCCTAAGCACTAGTACTATATTAAACACTGCTATATATCTTCAATCTGACAAAGAATCTGCAAAACAATATCTTACATTTCTTTATATGGCATTCCCAGTATCAAGAACATACGTCAATTTCTAAAAAACGCAATGATGAATCATATACAATCAGAAACATAAGAAAACATAGTTGAAACCATTAACATGTAAAATTCTGTAAAATTGAATAATCATTTTGCATTCGGTCAACCCTATAAATTTGCTAACGTTTATACGACAGTTYTCGATATTTACCACAGGAAACCCATGAAGTAAACTATTACGAGCTCTTACGTAATTGTTTTGCAGAGGTCAAGGCAAAACCCCCATGCAATTAGTATTCAGAAATGATAAAACAACGAGGACGCCACCAGAGCGTACATTTCCTTCGTTTTAACGCTTTTATTACGCTCTAAACGGCAACTTTTWTAAATTTTCTGCACAGTTTAATCAGCTATCGTCTCTTGGAAAAGAACGAACTCACCAAGTAAGGACTATTTGTATATATTCGTATTTAAAATCAACTTGATTTGAATCATTAMTAAAATTGTTGTTGAGTTCAAATGCTGATATATTTCGAACGCATTGCAGTATAAATTCTATGTCAATCTTTAGTACTTCGCTCAATTTGAACATGTCTTTGAATTTTACTGGAACTGAAGCAATTATGTATCCAAAAACGACCTTTCCTCCGGTATATTAGACGTTTAATTGTAGCTGGACAACCTTCAACAGTTCTCGCATAAGCGTTGCATAAAGTTCGTGTCTCTTGCTCTTAAAGCGCTTTATAATCGGTCAAACGAAAATATTCAGTAAATTGTTTTTGTCGTAATATTTAGGGATATGCATACTTTGATGGTTTTTAGATGAATGAAGCTTCTTGAATCGTTCCATCTGCCTTTGTTTTGTGAAATATTATAAGTGTAAGCGTGACAGTTAATAGAGGTTTGCCATTTCATAGTGGTCATGTTTATAGTGAACTTCACTGTAAACGTAAATCGGCTTGTACGTTTATATGAGAATCGGATAAATGGAATTCATAAGTGG